CCCCCGTCCATTCCGCCAGTCAGCGCTGGCAGATCCAGCCCCTCCTCCTGTCACGGCAGAGAGCCGTGACAGGATCGAGAGGTGAGCGAACCCGGTATGTGTTCGCTCACCTCCCGATCTACTGAGCCGACCTGTGACAGTCTCATTGTCACAGGTCGGCTAGAACTATGAGGTGAGTGGAAATCACTCATCTCATAGTTCTCCTTTAATGGGACTTCCGGTATCAGTATTCAGTATTGACAAGTGCCAAAAAAATAAAATATCGATACTCTTACTCGATATCGAAAAAACGGTATCGGTGCATCCCTAGTTAGAACCCATGTGGGTTTTTATTGGTGCCTGTGTCTGCACTGGAGAATTGTCAAGGTGACCATTACGGGCAAACTCAATGGACCACTTGCCGTCACCCTTCAGTGTTTCTAGCTAGATTTCAGTCAGAGCACCGGGCAGTCCTTACGGGAGAACCTGCAGCTACCCAATGGGGCTTGCCATATGCTGGTACGTTACGCTCATTTTAACGCTTGGCACCAACACTGTGTTATTTAATATTCCAGAAACCCATAAAATAAGCTCTGTGTAGGCCAGTTTGGATTACAGTTTTGTGGTCATGCTCAGGTACACAGTTTGAGAGAACATTTTGTAATGTTTTGGGGTTTACTTAAGGTAATTCATGTTCATGGGACTACTGACACAAGTGTGATGACTGATGAGTGAAAAGCATTTGACATCACTAGTTTCTTCACTAAGATACATACTGTATATTATCATTCAAGTCTAAGAGGTATGATGTATGAAAAACACTTGAAGCTAAAATATTATGGGCACTCTGTTGTTGTGACGTTATTTATACACATAGTAACACAGCATATTGATAGGAAATCATTAGGGGACATTTATATGATTTTCTTTGGTATTGTTAGACTTGTTTACTCAGCTGAATGCACTAATAGCATATACGAATAATTATAGTAATACATTACAGCACTTACATCGGATTATACACATATGAATAATAAAAAGCTTCACTATTATTTACCTGGAGTATCTCATGTTCTTATTGTAAAAAGAAAAAAAAAAGCTGGTCAAAGCTTCACCAAGCAATGGTCTGAGTTGTTTGCACTAATCTCCAATAGTCACCACAGTATAAACAAAAACATGTCTATGAATCCTTATGGCAAAGCTGTTTATGTTCTCATGGTCAGCAATGGCCATACAGCGACAACATACAGATGCAATAGTGTTGTTGATCACCTGCGCGCCATACAGCGTTGTGACCTTGTCAGATGGTGGTGCTCGTAGTGATAATATGGATGGTGCCGTGTAAAACTCAAACGCAGATTGGATAATCACCAGCACACACTATACATTAGTATACAGATGGGGCGTATTTCTCTACCTGGGAGTCACGGTGGTGCACAGCTGCATGCAGGCAGCCTCTACAATCTATGACATGCGTAGGAGGACAAATGTCATTGTTTTCTATGCACAGGGCCGGTGCTTCAACTTCCCCCCCTCTATTTCAAATTGCAAAAGCCAATAGCAGACTGGCTATTGCACCTGCCCACTGAGCAGAGGAGCAGAACTGAGAGAACATTCTCTCTCAGGTCCGCTCCTCTGCTCAGTGGGTGGGGTTTCAATAGCCAGTCTGCTATTGGCTATTTCAAATTAAATAACCAATAGAAGTCTGGCTATTGTTCCTGGCTCCCAACATCCACCTGTCGCCTGCGGAAGCTAGCCAGCAGGAGAATGGAGCCACGCAGGGGTGATTGGGGGTTGTGCCACAGGTGGATGGGGCAAGTAGCTCGTCTTGCCCAGGGTGCACAATAGTCTAGCACCGGCCCTGACTATGCACATGTGATTACATCCACAACAGAACTTATGCACTTCACCGAACTCAGACCCCCTATTTGATTGTATTCATGCATACTGGGACATACGCACTGTCCTGGTACCCATGTAAAC